CTGTAGGCAAATGCAGATGATGATGCAGACCTGGATGATTCTATCATAGGGCTTCAACAGGCCTACGATATCAGCAGGACCGCCTTTTCTTATTCTATTGATATAAACACCTTTTACATAAAGACCGTCGCTCACACTAAAACCATAATCGTCGTAAATGGAATCCTGCAAACGAACAAAAAACAAGTTGCGGCAAATAGTGCGGTTGAAAACAAACCTTATATAAAGTAACGTGATAGATTTCCCTTTCCAAAATATTCTCAGTGCTGCAGGATCCGGTGAGTCGTTCAATAGTGCCCCCATGGTGATTGTAGTGACTGAAAAATAATTAAGTTAACTTAAACAATTTTTTTTAAATTTTATGCATGCAAAGATGTGTTAGGTTTACACTAAAAAATGGTATTTGTGGAAAAGTGGCGATGAAACAAGTTCAAAACGTGAAAGAACTGAAAAATATTCTGGAAGAATTGCATGTAATTATCCGAAGAATTCAATGTTTTTTTCATTAGTCTTCATTTGTCGGTTTTTTCTCAAACTTTAAATTACTGTTATTAGTGGTTCTGTTGCAGCTCAGACAAAATCTCAATTACTTAGAAAAAGCTTGCATCTTCAGAGGTGTTAAAGCTACATGTAGCACACTTACTTTTTATTAAAATATCAGTTTCAGACCTACAGTCTGGTACAACAATATATTGGATCTCTTTCGACATTTTTTGTTCCTCCCGATCAAGAGACGTAGAAAAAATACTCACATCATGCTGTTGCCGAAATTGTAGTTCGGCAAAGGCAACGGACTGGGACAGAACATTTCCTCAGTATCTGAGTAGTACTGCAGCTCAGAATTCCTTTTTCTCGATTTAGTCAACGTTAGATCCTTGTCCTGCTCGTGGATCTGATCCTGATAGGATAGCTGATCGCTCAGCACACTTTCGATGTCCTTAAGTTCTAAAAACAACAGTCAACCAAAGAAAACTTAATGAAAAGTGATGTTTTTACCCGAAGTGTGTTCGTTGTGAGTGTCGCCCGTATTGCTGCTATCCCAGCTATGTATAGCGCTGTCTACACTCATAAGCCCTGGACTTGAATAGCTACATCTAGGCTCCTCTAAAAGAGTCAAATCTAGAAAAACATTTTCCCTTACAGGAGCAATCCTGCTTTCTTTGCCTGATCCTCCTACCATTTTTTATGTGCCGCGCTATTTTCAATTGAACTCTGTCTCCTGATGTCTGCAGCAACCGGATGGCGTCGGAAAGGGGCCGCTGATCCAAATTGTCTCCATTTATTGCCAAAATTCGATCACCCACATGAAGGGCCCCAGTTTTTTCAGCCAAACCTCCTAAAAATACAGTGCGAATTAACACGTCAATTGAGTTGAACAAGGTGGGGTGCCAAACGCGTGCAGAGGAAGGAGAAGGAAAACGCTGGTAGGCGTGGCTCCTTAAAGCGATAGAGCCTAGTCGATGTTCCTTTTCTTTCCAATACACGCAATAATTCTGAGTTGCCTTGTTGCACTTATTACTGCTTGTTAGTACCTTCAGTTAATCTGGATAGGATGATGGGATCTCCAGAATCCTCGCTGCCTGATATCGTAATGCCCAACGGGCCGCCGTATCTGCAAATTAGTAAATTTTTAAATAAAGGTTTTTCACAAATATTTCAGCTGAAATTGCAACCAGAATAATCGAATCCACCCTAAATTGTTGAGCAATTTGCGTTTTCCTCAAAAGGCGCCTTGACCCGTGTTTCCATGTAATATTCATAGCCGTACCTGAGATCCCGTTTAAGGTGATCTTCAAGCTGATTAACAACTCTCCGAGTTGCTGCATTGAAAGCGCTGTCTCAGCTATTGATTTTCTTATTGCGGACTTCTTAGTTTATTTTTCCCGAGTTATGCTCAGTACTCTGGAACGCACAATCATGCCGATATTAATTTTCAATTGCAATTGCGTCCTTTGGAAGGTAACTTTTGTAGTCGTCCGGATTTTAAAAAGCCCAAATTGGGTCGGGGAGGGCAAACTTGCATGGAAATGAAACTCCAAGGAATCATCAGCTGGCGAATTACAAGTCTCACTTTTAGCAAATTTCAAAAATTAGCCGAGAACTGCAAGGAAATCAAACTTTGAGGACACTTAAAGGAAAGCTTCTTCTATTTTTTGGGTGAAAAACGTATTTCCTTGTCAGCCAGTTGGGACGAAATTATTTTTTTAAAGAACGACGGGTGAATTTAGTGGCAAAAGTCATTGAAAAGTAGTATTCAAAGGTCAGAAATTAGCTCACAGCTCGAAGGAAGCCAAACTCCGACAAAACATACGGTGAAGAGTGCTCATTTTGTGGAAAAACTCATGACAATTTTCACTTTAAAAAATGCTCCAAGTTCTGCCCGCAAATCTAAGGAAACCAAACTTGAAAAAGCACAAAGTGAAGATTGCTCTTTTCATTGGCGTAAAAACGCTTTTCTGTCCTAACCGGTTTGGATGTAATCAATTTTTCAACAACAGGTATAAATTTATATTTAGAAATAATTGCATTTGTAAATTTAAAAATTTGAAAATGCGCAAAAAAACTTTTTGAAGATTAATTTGTAGAACATGGAGGATGGGGCGCCATGATGCAAAAATCTGGTAAGAATGATTTTTAATCTATAATTTTTTTAGCTTGAACTGATTTTAGTTTTCCGTCAATGAACTGATGGATTCTTTATATTTCTTTCTCTTTGCTTTTTGCTGATTTAAAATAAGTGGGTTTGGACAGATTTTCTGCGGTACTAAACACATTTTCTTCTTTCTATCCACGTGGCACTTCGCAGTTTTTGGTAAGTTTAGCATTACTTTTCGAATTATTTTTTGCATGTTATAAGAAACTTTAGCGACATTTAGAGGGCTCTTGTCTTTACTGAACGCACTTTGAACTTGTAGAGTATTTTTCGTTTTAGAGAATTTTATTTTTGAAATGTGGCCTGCAATAGTTCTTTGAAATTCTGTCCTCTGCTGTTAAAAGCGTTTCTGTCTCCACTGGCTTGATGACAATCAATGTTTAAACAACCGTCGGTAAATTTAGTGGCAAAAAATGTTCGAAAACTTCAACACTTCAAAAAATGCTCAAAAATCTGCCCACGGCTCTAACAAACTCAAACTGTGAAAAAACGTAGAGTAAGGATCTCTCAATTTATTTCCGCCAAATGCGCTTTTGCATCCCAACTGGATTTGACGGTATGAATTTTTTAGCAACCGGTGCAAATTTATTCTTTTGACTTTGGATTTGGAAAAATCTCAAAATTCAGCCCAAAGCGCCACAAAACGGAAGCTTTCAGGAATCAATGAATGAGGCTTGGTCTGCCTTCTGCAGTTAAAAGTGTGCCAGAGCCTTTTTGAAGCCAGACAAATTTAGTCGCAAAAGTTATTGCAAGTCTCACTTTGAATAATTTTCGAAAATTAGCCAGTAGCTCCAAGGAAACCACACTTTAAGGAAAGATGGAGCAAAGTTTGAGACATTTAGTACCGAAAAAACTCTATAAAATCAGCACACAGCTCCAAGAAAACCACAGGATGAACAAACATACAAACTTTGGTCTATTTGGTGGCGTAAAATCGCGACTGGTTTGATTTCAAAAGTCATTGCGAATAACCCACAGTTACGTGAAAGTTTCCTTAATGTACTTGCTTAGAATAACAAAAAAACTTGTGCTAATCTTTCAAATATTTTCCACCATCCTGATTGCTGTCGTCCAAAAGATACTTTCGCTGACACCACCAATTGCTTATACAGAGCGAAGCTCTCAAGTTTGGAAGCTGCCCTCCCTAATTAATTATTCATTTAATTGATTAAGTCCCCTTTATAGAATCAGCCAATTTCCAAAACACTCAGCTGGCAACAAAGCCAACAAAAGGATTTGCCACAGTCAACAGATAATTAAAAACTTTCCAGTTCTCACACTTAATCCATAAGGATGGATGGCCGAAGAATTCGCCCTGGCAGCGTTTCCATTGAACGGTGCCGACCCAAAAAGTTAATCAAACATTTCGCCCTCCATTATCGCAACCTCGAGTCGAATTTATATAGAATTATGAACCATAATGGATTAGCTAGACCTTTTAAAACTTAAAATAATAACCAGCAACTCAATTAAAACGAAATCCAGCCAGTTTCCACTAGAAAAACAAAACCGTAATTGTGGATACGGGATATAATCCGCTGTTTCCAACCAGTTTAAAGTTGAGCAATTGATTTGTAGTGCCGGCAAATACAAAAGTTGTTTTAACTTCCAGTCGGAACGTTAGAATTAATAATCCGAGTTGGTTGGATTCCACATAGCGGGATGGTAACAGTCAACTTTGAAATAACGAAAACATTACTAAAATTACGTTTGCAGCGTAACCGATGTCTGCAGCAGCAATTGAAGGCTCAGAAAGGGTTGAAATAAAAAAGGTAATGCAATATTTTGAATTTACAGTAGTTCAAAAATCCAGGCCTGAAAATACCTTTTTTAAGTTAAGCGTTGGGATGGAAACATTTGACAAACAAGTTTTTGATCATAAAAACCCATTTTTTTTACAACCGGCAAACTTTAAAGCAGCAAACCAAGATATTTTTTTGTATTTTTCCATTGTAGCACAAGTTAGGGAAGAAAACTTACACGATACGAAACGGTTCTAAAAATATTAGCAAAAACAATAAAATGTGACACTCGGTATCTGCAAAACGAAGACACGGAGCTAAAAATGGGAACGAAAAAGAGTGTTTTTGTTTTCCAACGATCGGGACAACCACATTCAACTCAGTCCAATAAACATATTTGTTTCAGACTCAAAAAAGACTAAATTTGAACAAAAATGTTGACAAAAATAGTGCAGTTTTAACATTTTTCGTCCTTTACCGATTTTCAAATTTTCTATTTCATACTGAAGCTAAAACTTCATATTCGAACAATACAGAAACAATAGAGGTGCTTGAATATACGGTGGTGGAGAGTAAACTCGATTTTAATTGAAAATCTGCCATTATCAGTGGCAGTTCTGATTTGGGTCAATTTTGATGCAACCCTGTATATTGTCTTAGGTCGACTAGGAAGTTTCAGATTCAGCATACAACAGTATTTTTTGCAAGTGGCGCCCCGATAAAATAGGTAACACTGCGAAACCAAAAAACTTGATTTTTTGAGATCACCCTGTACATGAAAAAGATAAGCAAAAAATTAAAAAACCTTTTCGAAATATTAGGTCTTGACGCTTTTGGCGTAGAACTGCAAAAAACGCTTTCATGCGCAACTGGGAGCTCGCGAAACTATTGGAAATTTTGCATGTTTTAATTTTACACCCTGTATAAACTTCACATGAAGTACGTAGTTTTTCTAAAAAGACACACTAACAGAAAAAAAGCTGTGCTCGATAACACTTCAAATAGAAATCAAATCGCTTGCAGCAATAGAAAGTTATCCAGTTTCAAAGTTAGGGCAAATTTGGCAGCTGTTTGTTTAAAGATCGGGAAAATGTGTTGATACAGAAAGGTTTGTGGAAAGAAAGTAAACTTTCCAAAATAAACGAAAATTAGACAGTTAGGCGCAGTAAAGTTTCCTTTATAGGAAACCCGCTTTATTGCTGAAAACAAACACCTAGTTTTTTTCAGGAATTAATTATACGAGAACAGGCTGTAAAGTTTGTTAAGGAAAAACTGCGCCCTAAGTCAAAATGTAACGTTGAGCAAAAAACATAATAAATGAACTAAATAAATTTTAAGGGCTTGCGACCCGGCAATTGTAGCCTTGATTAATTATAAATTGTTTTGTTTGGGTGCTTTCGCATCCGATCACAGTAATTTTTTCTGGTTCTTTTACATGTAGACGCGCCATTAAAAATCCACATGCAATTTATCAAAATTCTGGAAAATCAACGTCGACACTCCGGCAATTTCCAGCTTGTACAGCCGTAAACACCTACACTGTTACAACGGACAATTTAGGTTATTAATGGACAACTCCGGAGCCAAAGTAGTTCGGAGTCGGTGTTAAGTTCAGGCTCATTAGTATCTGAAGCCAGCTTAATGAAAGTATAGTGCGAATTAATGCCATTTATTTAGACACCGAATGTGAGAAATGAAATTTGCATTTTCATCCCATTTAACTATTAATTAATCCGCAATTAAACACTATGCGAATATTTCGCAAATTTGCGTGCAGTATTACAAGTCATTACCTGTGAAGCTCAACAGTGTAAACCACGCTGTCCAAGAATAGATTTGAGTTCTCCGTTTCGGTTTTCTCCACCTTCAGGGTCACTATGTCATTGGTTGAGGTTTGGAGGATATCGAAAGCGGACTCCAAGCTGCAATTTGTTAAACGTCCATAATTTTATGAGAAATTAATGCGTCGCAAACTCCAAAGATACAAACACAGTTGATTTTTTCCAAAAATTCCACATATTCAAAGTGTAAGGCCTTGAGTAGAAAACCAGGCCCACAAAAGTTTCCGGAAAACTTAAACGCATTGTTTCATATATAATATATTTTTTTTGTGGAAAAATTTTCGTTTTGAAAAAATTCAATTTTTCATGTTACTCATTTTTCCACACTCAAGTGGTCAACAGAGAACGAAAAGTGATCTCCGAAATTTCGCCATTTAAACCCAGTTCCGGAAATAAAAGAAATAAATGCGTGAAAGCGACATTCAGAGCAACATTTTGCAAGTTTTTCGCTTCAAAGCCCTTTCAGGCGCATTTTGAGCGCATATTCGTCTTTTTGAGACAAATTCAGCATAAAATAAGCCCCATATTGATGGGCYCTTTYTTGAAAAAAATCTGCTATTTTGAGCCAAAAAACTTTTYTWAATAGAAGTCACYYATTSRGATGGTACGCGTTTTCAGCAAAAATTGTCTCAAAAAGCTAAATATTGCAGCAGAATTGCAATTTTMTCGATAGTATGCGAGAAAATAAATAWYTTTGAATCGAAAAAATGCTTCAARATGCGAATGTCTGYASTAAAAGATTTCTGATTGAGAAAACAAATGCCAGGAAAGTAACSGAGTGGCATCGATTTTTATTTCTGSATTGACAAATTCCAATTTTTCATGGGATTAGTAAAACGTTCTGCAAGCCGCTCGCATGAAAGTCTGCATATTCGGATTGGAGCCCATTCAGCATTAAATAATTTCCACATCCCTTRTAACTCTTTAACTGAAAATAAKGGAGTTTTTTTTAAATAAACCAAACAATATGAGCTTRCAACTGTTCAAGRAACCTTTGAAAAACTCGARTCCTAGACTCAAGTCACGTTATTCTTCAAGACACCGTGCATAATAAAGTAAATAAAATCAACTRAAAATACTGAATAAAATCGACTAAGACGTTCCATTGTTCCACTGCTCAGTTCGTTGATTTTCAACTTTTGAGCGAAAAATGACTTAATTCTATTAGTTCTTTCGTCGAGTAGTTGGATAATTATCATGCAAATTTGCTCGGTGAACGCTAAATGATTAACATCTCTAATTGAGAGACAATTACATCGGCCATTCGTCGTAAGGTTTTGAGCGGGTTTTAGGGAAATTGGATCAACGTGTTTGAATACGGGTAGTTTAAGTCTTACCTCAGATGATCGATGGGTCGTCCATCAATAGCAAGCAACCGATCACCAGCATGCAAAGTGCCAGTTCGATGGGCGATCGATCCTCTTCGGATTTCCGATATCAGAAACGGCTCGTCTGGTTGATGTTTTGAAGCTGAAAAAACCGCGAAAGCAAAAGTCAATTGATTCTTCACACTTTCTGTAAAAGCGGGCATTTTTCCTTTTCAACTGAACCCCTCGAAGTGGTCATCTTGAAAATTCCAAGCGCTTGTTACTCTAATTGTGCAAGTCGTGCAAAAAAGCCTTAATTCCTACTCGAAACAGGGCACTTAGAAGAAAAAGCGCCAACTAAACGTATTTTTTCTCCTCGAAAACTGCCACGTAGTCATGGCGAATCTGCTAGGCATCGAGGTTTCGTGATTAAGTATCCCTTAAAAGTGGGGTTGGGTTATTGAAAATGAGAGCCGTTCAGGCTCATTATCGGTTTTGCTCTTCTCCTACTTTCGTGCCCACTTACTGAGGGAATATGAAACCGATAATGCATAAATAGATCGCCTTGAAAACGGATACTATCTGGCCCAATTTGGGCGATACGGTTTTTAAACCCAAAACATCCAGACAGTCCAGAGTGAAATTTGCAACTCTAAGTGCGACCTAAACAGGGCTGATATCCGAAATCGAGGCAAATTTGTGCACAAAAAACAGCGCAAAAACACTGAAAGCAGATATTGTGTTTTTTAATGTAAGCGCTTTTTTCAGTGTATAAGCACGTAGTGGTTCTAAATTATTCGATTATCGCCCTTTGCCTGAGTTTTTCCAGTGTATCAACAACGGAATATCGAGCGAATAAATCACCTGAATAGAATTTTGTCCCAGTAAAAGTTTGAAATTGATGCTATTAAGTGTAAAGCTGAGTAGAAGTGCTTTTTTAATCCTTGTCCACATTTTTCAATAATTTACAACATATACAATGGGGGTGTTTCTTCGTTCGAAGAAAACCGATTGAGGCCAGAAAAGACCAAAGCGATCGGTTGGAATTTACTCAAAAATCTCATAAAGTCGCGACGAACAAATTTGTTACTTAAAATGCCTCATCATAGTTGGGCATGGAAGCGAGTGAATGGAATTGATATTGTTTAACAATCATTTTAATAATGAGATAATCCGTAATTAACACTTAAAAAGCAACATAAAGAGTTAATCTGAGCACACATCAACACTAATAGAATAACTTGAAAAATTTGCAACACGGTGTCCATGAAGAAATTAAATAGTTTACTATGAAGCCGTTTTTTGTTCAGTGCAGGATCATGCAGCCATTTTCCAGCACATTACCAGAAAAATTTTGGCTGATAAATCGCCGTAAGACATTTTAATAAAACAATGCAAGTTTCAATATTAATTTAAAAATTCTAATTGCTTCTTTGTGGTTGTGTTTCCCACAAATAAAGTCTGCGTAAAGCTGCATAATTTTTTCCAGTTTATCTACATGAAAATATCGACCAAGCAAAAGATATCCAAGCGAGTTTTTTGTGTTTCTCAAAAATGGTGTCATGAGAAAAACTGTGTGCTCATAACGCGAAAACTTGCTTGTGTTAATTTATAATTTTTGACTGAATAAAGAGGGTAATTGATTCAGTCAAATTAGCTGATAAAGTCTCAAATTCCTTAAAGTTTCTACTTTTAGGAAGCGAGCTAAGAGCGAAACGAGCTCAAACAATACTCTTTACTGACCACTTCTTTAACTCAAAATTAAGTGAAACTGATTTTCTAAAACTCTTTTTTGACCTTTTCTTTATTCGGGATTTAAATACTTTTTTATAAATCAGTTTTTTAGGGTACGATCAC